AATAGGTTTAAAGAGGGACATCTATTATTTTTAAAAAAATATATAAAAGGCAAATTAGTCTTTTAGGGGGGCGGTAAATATCGAAAAGGGGGCGGTGTTTAGCGGTTCACTTTATTTATCTTGCATTTACCGTTTTTGAAGTGACATGACAAAAAAAAAAAAAAAATTAAAATAATCTCAAAATGGAACCATCCAAATTAGATGCCACCAATGAGGGTGAAGTTCAAATGAAATTGGGCCATGACTTTGTTGGGCCTAAGATAGAAAAGTACAAGTTGTTAACAACTTTTCAACAAAAGCTAACACAGTTTAAGCAAATGTGATTGAAATTTTCCTTAAAAAAACATTCAACGGCAGACGATAATGTTGTGTTTTTTTTCCATCTTCTGCCCCCACCGCTGCAAAATCGTCGGTCCACAAAACCAATCACAATAAATGATTGCTCTGGCGGCTGGTCCTCATATCAGCGACTCCCCACCGTTGATATTAGCTCAGTTATCCCCCGACCGTGGGCGGGTCTACACCAGATCCGTCCCTCTCTGAATAGTTACCTACGACGCACACCATCTATAAACGTAATCGATACGCATATATACTTCGAGGTTTTCTATTGCATTTATCTGGGTTTTCGATTTTCGCGTTTGTCAGCTTTGGGGTTCGTCTACATTTCGACGAATGTAAGTAAATCAGGTGAAATTTGAAGAAGACAATAGAAAGATCACGTCTTTTTTGAGTGAATTTAATTTTATGAGTTTAATTTTGCTTTTTTCTTGGATTTTGATGTTGAGTTGGAGATGTTTTCTTTATTAGATTTGATGAAAAAGAGAAGGAAAGAACGTAAATTGTTCATTATTTTGTTCGTTGTGTTGGCGTTTTCTGTGGATTCTGCAAATGGGGATTTTGGATATGGTTTGGACATTTAGAAAGATTACTTAGTTTAGCAGCTCAGATACGTTGTTATTTATGGTACCTTTTGATGTCCTTAGGGCCCATGTCTTTCAGTTAGCACGTAGTTGCAAATAATTGCAGAATTTAGGTAAAAACGTTTAGGTATAAAGAGTGGAATGTAGGGATTTTGTTTTGAATTTGGATGGAGAAAGTAAGACATTTTAAAGTGTTATCTCATAGTCGATTCAGGCAAGAAAGATTAAAAAAAAGGAAAAGGGAAAGTTTGATACTCCTGCATTTATTTGGGGAGAAACGGGTGCGGTAGACGAGCAATTGTTTTCTTGCATATTTTCATGATCTTTACTGATAATAGGAATTCTCAATGCACCTTTGATTCGTTCTTTCATTCAAACAAAAGTCATCATTGATTTTGATAGGAGAAGGTGTTCAATGTTTTATCTTAGTACGGAGATGATACGACCTGCATATAACCCAACGTGCAGAACAATGTACACGAGCATTCAAAATTATAATCGATGCTTTTATCGTGCCTATTTTCGCTAGCTGATGAGATTTTCGGAACTTGTATCTCTGATTAAAGGTTCTAACCAAATTGTCGAGCGCCATTTTTTTTTTTTTTTCTTTTGGCTGCCTCGGTGCATTTATTTTGTAATCTTGGTAGTGGGAGGTACACATCTGAGAAATCTGAATCGAGTTGAAATTCAGGAAAGTGAAAGCAAATGAGGAATCTTATTTCATCATTAGTTAATCCAGTGGCCTCATAACTTCATTGCCTTTCTTAAACGTTTCTATGCAAAATATTCGAAAGATACAATTTGCAATTCTGAGGATAACAAAAGGTGCTTATTTGGTTGCAGATATGAGCCCCATGCACTTCTGCAATCTGTAATGGCTATTGAAATCCTCTTCGGCTCGAACGGAGCTCGAATCATAAGATACACCGAACAGATAGGCCATTGTATCGTGCCCACTTTTTGTTCAAAGGACTAAAGATTAACAAATAAAGTCATGGAGTTCAGCCCACCCAATAATCCTGAAAAAACACTAAAGCATTTTCCATTGACTCCTTTCAGAATTTTCAGGGGCATGCTATGTCTGGCAGTTTATCTTTCAACCGCATTCATGTTCTTAGTCTATTTTGTGCCGCCAGTTTCTGTAATACGCTTGTTTAGTGTACATTACAGTAGAAAATGTGTATCCTTCTTGTTCGGCTTGTGGCTTGGTTTATGGCCCTTCTTTTTTGAAAAAATAAACCAGACTAGGTTCATTTTTTCTGGGGACAGAATCCCAGTAGAACAACGCGTTCTAATAATGTCCAACCACAGAACGGAGGTCGACTGGATGTATTTGTGGAATCTTGCACTAAGGAAAGGGTGCTTGGGATACATAAAGTATGTTCTCAAGAGTAGTTTGATGAAACTTCCGATTTTCGGGTGGGGATTTCACATCTTGGAGTTTGTTCCCGTGGAGAGGAAGTGGGAAGTTGATGAGCCAATTATGCGCCAAATGCTTGATAGCTTTGCTGATCGTCGGGACCCATTGTGGCTTGCTGTTTTTCCAGAAGGAACCGATTATACGTAATAAATCTCATCCTTACTTTTTAGTTCCTCAATTATACGTAATAAATCTCATCCTTACTTTTTAGTTCCTCAAGTCTTAAAAGTTGGTTCATTTCTATTTTTTTTCCTTTCCCCCCTGAAGGAATGGAATTAGGTGTGCTAGTTA